AGGCCGCCAAGCTCGGCGGCGGTTCTGACGGTGCCGCTGCTGCTGCTCCCGCTGCACCGGCTGCGCCTGCTGCTCCTACGCCTGCTGCCGCCGCTCCCCCTCCCCCGCCCCCTGCGCCTACCGCCCCTGCTACCCCTGGGAAGGTGGTTGCGACGCCCGAGGCAAAGAAGCTGGCGAAGAAACACAAGGTATGATGTAACGCCTTACACCTGCTGCGGCCGCTGCTCCTGCCCCTCCTGCCGCCGCTCCCCCTCCCCCGCCCCCTGCGCCTGCCGCGCCTGCTACCCCTGGGAAGGTGGTTGCAACGCCCGAGGCAAAGAAGCTGGCGAAGAAGCACAAGGTATGGTGGAATGCAAGGTATGGCCCGATGCAAGCACAAGGTATTGTGCAATGCACACACAAGGATCGCCAGACACAGTTGCTTGCAGTTGTCACCAGACAGAGACATCACCACCTTGACCACCACCACCCCACCTGCCCCTCCCCTACCTTCTGCTTCTTCCTCCCCTTCCTTCAACCTCCTCGTCCGTCCTCTGTAGCAGCAGGCTCAGGTGGCTGCGAATCCTTGTCCTCCTCTTACCATTACCTGTCCCTCCTCTACCTCCTTGCTTCCTCCTCCCCTATCTTTAGGCTCCTCGTCCTTCCTCTGTAGCAGTTTGCCTCTGGTGGCCGCACATTCCTCTTCCTCGGCCCCACTTTTTCACCCCCACTCTTCCACTCCCTCCCTTCCGCCCCTCCTTTCCATCAGGTGGACTTGGCCAAGGTAGCAGGCTCCGGTCCCTACGGCCGAATCACCCCTGACGACATCAAGAAAGCAGCAGGCATCGCAACCGCGCCTGCTCCCACCATCGCCGCTCCTGCTCCCGCTCCCGCTGCTCCTGCCGCTCGTGCTGCTCCTGCAGCAGCAGCAGCAGCACCGCTGCCAGCGGGGGCGTCAGTGGTGGCGTTCACGGCGATGCAGGGGGCGGTGGCGAGGAACATGGAGGCCACGCTCGTTGTGCCCACCTTCCGCGTCGGTTACACCGTTACCACCGACGCCCTCGACGCGCTCTACAAGCGGGTGAGTCTGTCCGCGCTCACTGCTCCCTCGGGCGCTGGTGAAGGACAAGGGTGTGATGTGACCATTTTGGCCATGGCAGCAGTGGGCATGGCCCTGGCAGTGGGCACGGCCCTGGCAGCAGGCACGGCCCTGGCAGCAGGCACGGCCCTGGCAGCAGGCATGGCCCTGGCAAGGCACCCCAAAGGCACCCTAAAGTGAACGTTGCATGCAAGTATGGCAAGAGCTTCCATTGCCTCCACCGCACCCATCCCACTCTCTCTCCCCTCCCCCCCCCACTGCTCTCCCTCCCCTCCTCCCTCAATGCTCTCTGTACCCTGTCCCTTCACTTCTCTCGCTCCCTTTCTCCGTTCACTTCGCCCTCGCCCACAGGTGAAGGGCAAGGGAGTGACCATGACGGCGCTGCTCGCCAAGGCAGCGGGCATGGAAGTGGCGCGGCACCCCATAGTGAACGCCGAGTGCAAGGAGGGCACGTGATAAAAGTAGTGTTTTGAGACGTCTCAAAACATAGTGAACGCCGAGTGCAAGGGCAGCAAGAGCTTCAACTCTCCCCACCGCAACCATCCTGCTCTCCCTCCCTCGCCTCTCACTCCTCTCTCTCTCCTCCTCCCTTTACTGCTCTCTCCCTTCTCTCCCTTCCCCCTCTTCTCACTGCTCTCTCGACCACAGGTGAAGGGCAAGGGAGTGACCATGACGGCGCTGCTCGCCAAGGCAGCGGGCATGGCTCTGGCCAGGCACCCCATCGTGAACGCCGCGTGCAAGGATGGGAAGAGCTTCCACTACAACGAGAGTGTGAACGTGGCGGTGGCTGTGGCCATGGATGGGGGTCTCATCACCCCTGTTCTCAAGAACGCGGACCAGGTAGGTCGATATTATGAGATGATATAGGCAAGGACTGGTGAGATGAGGTGAGAGAAACTATGAGTGTAGGCGCATGACAAAGAGCTTCCAGTTCAACGAGAGTGAGTGAACGTGGCGGTGGCTGTGGCCATGGATGGCGGGCTCATCTCATCACCCCCGTGCTCAAGAATGCAGACCAGGTAAGGAGAGATGGTGGGGTGAGGTGAGAGCAACGAGGACCTTGTGCGCCTGAGAAAGAGCTTCCACTACAATGAGAGCGTGAACGTGGCGGTGGCGGTGGCTGTGGCCATGGATGGCGGGCTCATCTCATCACCCCCGTGCTCAAGAACGAGGACCAGGAAAGGAGAGATGGTGGGGTGAGGTGAGAGCAACGAGGACCTTGTGCGCCTGAGAAAGAGCTTCCACTACAATGAGAGCGTGAACGTGGCGGTGGCGGTGGCTGTGGCCATGGACGGCGGGCTCATCTCATCACCCCCGTGCTCAAGAACGCAGACCAGGTAGGAAGCGTTTACGGGATGAGGTGAGAGCGTTCAAGTGAATGGTGACGAGATGACTTTTGAGTCCGCTCAACATGCAGCGTGCAGGGATGGCACGAGGGGGAATGCATACACACTACTCCATCCCACCCCACTGCACTCCATCCCTCTATTCTCCTCCTTACCCCCGTTCATCATCCCAGACGGACCTGGTCACGATGTCAGGGCAGTGGAAGGAGCTGGTGGGCAATACAAGGTAGCACACAGCACCCTTACCACACTCCACCGCTCTCCACCCCTCTCTTCTCCCCCTTACCCCGTGGACCAGACGGACCTGTTCACAATGTCAGGGCAGTGGAAGGAGCTGGTGGGCAAGGCACGGAGGAAGGCCCTGAGCCCTGGCGACTACAGTGGAGGTGAGAGAGGCGGACATGAACAGGGGTTGGAGTGGAGGGGCTAGGGCAGCAGGGAAGGGTGGGAGGGAGAGGGATGGAGGAAGAAGGTTAGGTGAGAGCTATAAGTGGAGGGCTGGTGAGTGAATTCCTGTCAAGGCAACTGGGGCATGCCGCTGTGATTTTGCAATTGTACTACGGCTTGTGGTTTTGTTTTTTGGAGGGGGCGTGCAGTTATGGTTTACCTTGCTTTAGACCCCTTGCTCGTATCTGAACCAACCATTCGTGTGCTTCTCTCGTTGGCCGCCTCTTCTTCCCGCTCGTCTCTCCTTCCAGGAACCTTCACGCTGTCCAACCTGGGCATGTTTGGAGTGGATCGGTTTGATGCCATCCTGCCCATTGGCCAGGTGAGCTGGTGCTAGCCATGTGGTCCGTGCATGTGGGGAAGCGAGGGTGTGGGAAAGAGGGAATGGGAGTGTCGGAATGAAGGGAACGTGTGAAGAATCGAATTCTTTCCTCCTCCACCCGTCATATTCTATCATCACCTTAATGAGTGTACTGCATGTGTATCGAAATCTATGTCCCTGCAGGGTGCGATCATGGCCGTTGGATCGTCCATCCCAACGATGGTGGCAGCAGAGGATGGCAGCTTCGGCATCAAGAGGCAGATGCAGGTCAGACATTGGGCAGTCAAGGCTGGGATAGGGGTTGGTTGGGTTGGTTTGTGCAGGCGGGAGCGTGCGGAGCAGTTGGGTATATGCACTGCAAGGGGTTACATGTTCACATGTGGTTCTGACTCTGACCAGCCAAGAAGGATAAGAGACCCCTATGTTCCCCTGCCCCTTCCTGTATCTCGTTTCATTGCTTTCACTCCTTGCTTTTTCTAATTCTTATGTCTTGGGTGTAACCTGCATTCATTCAATTGCGTTTTTCAGTGTGACAAGTGCATCAGTTACTCATTCTCCACTGAGCTAACTGTCACTCCGTTGCGCAGGTGAATGTAACGGCGGACCATCGGATCATTTATGGTGCTGATCTGGCGGAGTTCCTCCAAACTTTTGCGAAGATTGTGGAGGACCCAGAGCAACTCACCTTGTAATAGCCGACGGTTCAGAGGAGTAATGTTATTTTTGGAATGAACGTGGAATAGTAGGTAGACATGTGGAGACTAAAACACTAGCACAGGACTAATTTTGGCCATTCGTGAAAGCTCATGATCTGGGTGTATCGCATGCATCTGAAATAAGTTCCGATGCCACTACTGTACCTCTTCATTGCCAACCTCACTATAGTCAGGCATCTCGAATCCAGCCGTTCAGACACTGCCACGTGAAAAGCACCGTGGTCCGCGTCAGCTGGAGCTCTTTTCCAAGTCGTGGTGGCACGATATTTTCTTGCTGACACGAGACAGTCTGTCCAGCATGACCAGCCCTAACCAATCAGGAACAAATATGCAGAGCACAGAACAACACGACGAATCACGTCAGCGCCTCGAGGGCTCCGTCTGCTTTTCTTCGCAGTTAAAACGGTACAGCGTGTCTGTGTACGTTTCCGCAGAAAGACAAAACTTTAGAGTACGGTACATCTAGTTCAAGCACAAGCCATTCACTTCAACTTTGGCTCACTTTTCGTGCTTCCTGTGCTTCCCTTCGCCTACTTTCTCATAGCTTCCGTCTGGCATTTCCCGATTTTCCCAGCCTTGGAATACGATTTCGTGTTGGATTTGGCCACAGTAAGTCAGCTGAATCTCAATCTCCCGCGCGGCATTGTTCTGCTGATCCCGTCTCCTTACCTTGATAATATTGTATCTCGTATCTCGTTCTTGAATTTCGGTAGGACCCAGAAGTCCTTCGCTGCGTGCAACTCGGAAAACTCGGCGCAATGTGTACGAGCCTCAACCTCGCTGCTTCTTTTATTTCGGGAACAGCCGGAACGGCCTTATCACGTCAGCTTCATCCGCTTCCTCCGCACTCTTCCTTGAACTCCGGCTTTCTCCCGACATTGCACCTTTCTCCAGTACCACCTCGTCAGTTTTTCGTTCAACGGCATCATGTGACACGTCAGCCTTGCCACGTCACCCCTTCGCGCCGTTGCACGAATAGAAACTCTGATTCGCTTCGCGCTCCGTCACTTCTTCGAGCTGTCGCCCGAGCTTCAGATGACGCCGGCGACGTCGCACAAGCTCCTAGCGACGTCGCAGAGGTGCTCGGTGGCATGACTGGTTATGAAACGCAGTTCTCTGCTGACACGGGCGCGCGGGTGGTGGCAGTGGTGGGTGCTGACGTGGTGAGCCCGTACGGCGGTGCCACGTGGGACGAAGTGATACGACAAATGGTGAGTCAAGGCTGTCTTGTGACCCTCCAATAGTAATATTCCGCATCTCACATTGCAGTGGCGAGCGTAACGAGCGAGTGATGGAGGAAACCGTACTTGTATTTGTAACTGTATCTGCTACACACGGGAGTGGACGGAACATGAGGAACTTTCTACATTGAAAAAAAGAAAGTACAAAAAAAGAAAGCATTGAAGCCCGTTACAGCTTTTTGTAGTGGGGAGACTTCAGCCTTTATTGGAATGTGTTGCCTTCCACCACCACCATTACCATCACTAGGCGTTCTTCCCCCATCATTCAGCCATGTCATTATCTAATCACTACGCTCCACATTCACTCAGCATACACTTTTCCCTCAACATTCCTGCACCTTATCCGTAGTCCACTCTACACCCCGATCCTCCTTTCCTCTTCTTTATTTTTAAATTGATCAAATTCCTCCATATCGCCATCCCACTCTTTGTCGTTTCCTTCCTTTCTTCATTTAACTTCCATCCCACCCCCCACCCAACCTCTTCCATTCTCTTGGTTCCCCAGGCTCGCAGAGTCAACTGGGTGGAACCTTCCGTGCAGCTTCTCGTCTTCTCCTCCTCCTCCCTCTCCCCCTCATCCTCCTCCCACTCCCACTTCCTCTCTGCCGCCCAGCAAGCTGATCTCCTATTGGCCGTCGCCGTGAACAGTGCCGAGTCCGCCGCCCAGCTCGTCCCCACTTTTTCAACCGCCCCTGCCCGGGTGGCCTTTGACTGCCACGTGTCGCTCTCTGAGCTCACCTCGCTGGGCGGGCTGAACCCGGAAAAGTTGAACCTGCCCCAGAAGCTTGCAGCGAAATGGGGATGGTGGAAGGAAGGAGCGAAGGCCGTTCAGGTGAGTGCGGAGCTAGTGTGGACATCCTCACTAGGTTGCATACATGGTGTGCCAAAGGTAACCAGGACTTCAAAATCATTTCCCAAACTGCCCAGCCTACAACACTGCTCACGCAGCAACTGCCTAAAGTCGTCATGCCTTCCGCGCAAATTTGAGAACCTCTTTTCTGTCCTCTTCCCCCCTTTCCCCCGTTCCCCGACCCTTCTCCAAATTCCCTCCTCCCCATTCGTCCCCCAGACATACACGCTAGTGGAGTCCTGCTGGGAGCGCTGCAGTGCTAACAACATCTGGTTCGTCGTCCTTGCTCTCTCATCTCCTCAACCCCCCTCTTCCCCCACCCCATCCCCGTCCCCACCCCATCCCCGTCCCCACCCCACCCTTCCCCTCCCCGCCTCTTCCATTCTTCCATCCACCAGACGTACACCCTGGTAGAGTCCTGCTGGGAGCGCCGCAGTGCTAACAACATCTGGTTCGTCGTCCTTGCTCTCTCATCGCCTCAACCACCCCCGTCAACCATTCCCCAATCTCCCATCCCATAATAACCGTCCCCCAATCATCTGACCCTGGTTCCCCAGACGTACACCCTGGTGGAGTCCTGCTGGGAGCGCCGCAGCGCTGATGACATCTGGTTTGTCATCCTCGCTCTCGTCAACGCCTACATTGTTGACGTGCCTGCTCTGCGCAACCCGCCACTCCCACCCCTCCTGCTCCCTCATCCCCTCAACCACCCCCTTTCCCCATTCCCATCCCCCAACCCCCCCCCTTCCCCTCCCCTCCCCTCCCTGTTCATCCATACCCCAGACGTACACGCTAGTGGAGTCCTGCTGGGAGCGTCGCAGTGCAGACGACATCTGGTTTGTCATCCTCGCTCTCGTCAACGCCTACATCGTCGACGTGCCAGCGCTGCGCAACCTGCGGGCGGCAGACTCGTCCGCTCTGCAGTGCATGGTCGGCAACTGCGGACCCGTGATTCTCGAGTGCTTCTTGGATGAGCAGTGCCGCACGGCTATCAACTGTCTCAATGAGTGCGGACCCACAGACCAGGTGCGTAGCTGTCACTGCGTCGTGTCCTATCCTATGGAACCCCCAGCTCTGCGTGCTGCAGAAGCACAACTCGAATGAGTGCGGGCTGTCACTGCATCCTGTCCCAGTACCCACCAACCAGGTGCGTAGCTGTCACTGCGTCGTGTCCTGTCCTATGGAACCCCCAGCTCTGCGTGCTGCAGAAGCACAACTCGAATGAGTGCGGGCTGTCACTGCATCCTGTCCCAGTACCCACCAACCAGGTGCGTAGCTGTCACTGCGTCGTGTCCTGTCCTATGGAACCCCCAGCTCTGCGTGCTGCAGAAGCACAACTGCCTTGGCACGACAACGGACACCTTACCTCACTTTCTCTTACTTATTTTTTTCTGTACCTTTCCTTGCCAGGTGTGCAGCCATCGCTGCATTGTCTCCTACGAGACCTTCAAGTTCAAAGCCTTCTCCCTCTGCGTGCTACAGAAACACAACTGCCTCTCCATGACAGCCGAAACTTTATGTTACTTTTCCCTCACCCTCACTTGATTTCGCCACATTCTCTCTCCCCCTTCCCCGCCCTGTCCCGCCCCTTTTTTCCCCTCCTTCCGCCACCACCAGGTGTGCAGCTATCGCTGCATTGTCTCCTACGAGACCCCCAAGTTCGAAGCCTTCTCCCTCCGCGTGCTGCAGAGGCACAACTGCCTCGCCATGACAACCAGCATCTTACCACGCTTTCCCCTTTCCCCTTACTCGATTTCCCCTGACTTAATTTCCCCTGGGCCTGTCCCCACCAGGTGTGCAGCTATCAGTGCATCGTGTCATATGAAACCCCCAAGCTTGAAGCCTTCTCCCTCTGCGTGCTCCAGAAGCACAACTGCCTCGGCACAGCTGAAATCGTACCTCATTTTCCCCTTTCCCATACTTGATTTCCCCTGTGTCTGTCCCCACCAGGTGTGCAGCTATCAGTGCATCGTGTCATATGAAACCCCCAAGTTCTTCTCGGGTTGTCCCAGCGATGTGATTCCCTACGTCTTCCCCATCCCCCTTCCACCATCACCAGGTGTGCAGCTATCAGTGCATCGTGTCATATGAAACCCCCAAGTTTGAAGCCTTCTCCCTCTGCGTGCTACAGAAGCACAACTGTCTCGGCATGACAGCCGAAATCCGCGACCGCCCCACCGTCCTCCCCCTCACACACCTTCGCGGGCAGCCCGTCACGCATGAGCGGGCAGAAGATATTTTTGTCGGGTGGCTCGGGCAGCTGCCCTGGAGCTGGCGGGTTGTGGCCGGGCAGAATGCCGCGTACGACCAGTTCCCGTGCCAGTACCAGATATTCTACCGAGGCAAGGCGCGAGGCTCGGTGTGGTACGACCCTGTTTTCAAAGTACGGTTTTCCATCCTTAGCAGGACCCTTTTCCACTGTTTCTCCATTCCATTCCTCCAACCCCTAAACCCCACACTCCACCCTCACACGCATTCCCCACCTCTATACCCATCTCCACCCTATTCCTTCCTTCCTGCTATTGCAACCTTTGGCCATCCCTCTCCACGCTCATCCTTATCACTCAAACACATGCACATACAACTAAGGCAAGATATGAGGCTTCCTGTACCCTGCTCCCTGTCATACCCTGCTCCCTGTCATACCCTCCCTTCTCCCTCCTTCTGCCTCACCAATAGGTATTCATAAAAAATCCGCACCCTCAGTGGACAATTCCTGTGGTGTGTGACGTCACTACTGCATGCACCACACGCATGTACACTTCTCCCATACTCTCCCTTTCCCTCACCTCTCCTCTCCTCTCCTCTCCTCACCTTACCCATGCAGATTTGCACCCTGGATGAACGGTCACTGTGCGCTGTTGCCACCACCACATACACCACACACGAGTACCCTTCTCCCACACTCTCCCCTCCTTCCTCTCCCCTCGCCGCTACTCACCTCACCCATGCAGATCCGCACCCTGGATGGACGGTCACTATGGCGCCGCCCACTACCGTGTGCGGCCCACTACCACATGCACCACACACATGTAACCTTCTCCCATATTCTACCCTCCCTTCACTCATCCCCTCGCTTCACCCATGCAGATCCACACCCTCGATGGACGGTCACTATGGCGCCGGCGCCACTACCGTGTGCGGCGCGGGAAGGTTCCCGGAACCTTCACCTTCACAGTGCTCGATAATGGGGTGATCTCTGAGGAATTTTGGCGCATCGTGGACGTAACAGATGATTTCCAATGGGGATTGTTTTACTACAGTGGCGCCGCCCGGGCGGCAGGGCAGTCGTACACCGGAGCTGTGCTCGTGTCCAAGGATGGGGAGTGGCCCGGACCTGAGCATGCGGTTCGGCTCAAAGCAGCCCTGGATCGGTGTGGGATCAAGGAGTGGGAACTGTACCGGGTTGATAACTCGTGCTGTGAGAACGCACCCTTGGGATTGCCGGAAGATGCGCCGGCTCCTGTTTCAATAGCATGAGACATTATAAGCATGGGAGATGCAATGCTCGGTGTTGGAGCATTTATCACATAGACATGCTACAGCACAGTTGCCTCTGACGGAAGTACAAGTCCCAGGGCATTGGATGTGCTACACATGCATGTGGAATGGGTGCTTGCATAATGTGTAAAGTGTTACACTATCTGCATCATTAGATGACTCAGTGCAACTCCCGTCAGTGTAAAATCCGTTACAAGCTATGTGGCTGCCTTGGATGGACTTATCGTTACGGTTCAGTGTTCAGCAGGCATGAAAAGGGTAAAACTTCATACAGTATTCATTGGGAATATCATTTCCTGCCTTTGTGAGAGGATGCTTCGTCACATGATAAAAACCGTTCTAGAGTCGAGAGAGACGAACTCCCCCGAAACAACGGGGTGATAGCTAAGCTGGGGGAAGGTCGAATTCATGGTGGAGGAGATGAAATGAAAGTCGGACGGACGGTACGGAAACCTAAAATTGTCAGAAGGACGACCTTGTCCAAAGAATTGCTGCAACGCAAGGACCGTGCCGTCCATCGACGTGGGACGGTGGGACAAAAATATCTTGAGTCGTCTCAAAACACTTTTATTTTCACTTGTCCAAAGAATTGCTGCAAAGAGAGGACCGTGCCGTGCCGTCCATGGACGTGGGACGGCTTAGAAATATCTAGACGAGCGGTGGGAGAAGGACACGAATAGATCCTTCGTGAATCTTCCTAACAAGACTGGAGGGAACAAGAGAGACTGACGGTGCTGGCAGATGTGAGGCGACGATGAACCGTGTGACTATGGCGGTTAGAATGACAACAACGAGGGAGGGGGCGAGGGAAGAACCCGCCCGCCTCCAACAACGAAGGCGGACGGGACGGTGGGCGATGCGAGTGTCAGTGAGGAAGTCTGACACTGGATGTCGGTTGGAGGGGCAGAGCAATACGGAACGGACGGAACAACTTGCTCTGATCTGTTCGTCCCTCCTGACCGGCTTTCGGTTCTCCTCTCCGCTGCTCTGCTTCTCTTCACTTCCATCATGCCATGCCGTGCTGCCGACAAGCTCAAGTCAAGCAATGAGTCTGAGGTGAGAGGTTCAAGGTGCGTGAATCTAGGCGAAAGGCTCGGCATTTAAAATTGTGTGATAGGTGGTTGCTTGTTGAAGTATGGGCAGGATACGTGTGTGCTTGGTTGGATGAGTTGTAAAGAGAATCTGGATGATGACAGTACAGACATGCAGTCATGCAGTTTCAGTGACCATCAAGCAGACGAGTGGAGGAAAAATAAGGAGCATCGATAGGTGGGTAAGAACTCTTGGAGTAGGGTTTCCTTCTTTCTTCCCCCCTTGGCAAGAACTTAGGACCAGAACCATTCTGTTTCGGAGATGTGCATTCGTGCCAAAATCTTGCACCTACAGCATTGGGATGATTCGATATTCCTGGGAATTTGGAGATTTTTCCCGTATCGAGGGTTGCTCAATCTTCTCAAGGATTAGCTTCTTACCGGGCAGATTATGGAGCTCGACGACTGGATGATGGTAAGGCGGGGCAGAGTTAAAACGTTTCAGGACTTTCTACGGGGAAATATGGGCCCTCTTTCTTCAGCAGCAGGAGGAATCTGAGGACGGTGACAACGTGGCGTATGACTGAGGGATCTTGGAGTGACCAAGACTTCGGCGGAAAAGCTTTGACATGGAGGTGGTGGTGACGTCGCTTTCGTAAAACGATTGACGACAGTGACGTGTCGACGTCGCGTGCAGGATTGGGTTACCGGATTGTGCGAACAATTTCCGGGACCAAACAGCGAGCCGCTGTGACGCATGCGTGTGTGCTTGCACCAATAGCTGGCTATTGTCGAACCTAGCCAGAGTTCGCTGGAAATAGGTGGAGAACTCTCACCAACTTTCCAGACAGCTCGTCAAACCCAAATTCCCTCCTGCGATTCGTCCTGCGACGTAACTGACCCACCACATGGCATCGCCATGTTCATGAGGCAACATGCGACCCGTTCTCGCGACCCTTCCATGCCGTTTTTGGCTGAGGATTCTCGAGGAGGACGAAATTCCTGGAAAGTACATCGCATCTCACCTGACCGTCATCTCCGCAAAGCTTCCCCCAGCTGCGCCAGCTAGCACCACCAGCTGGCAAAGCATACCAGCCAATAACCAGTCGCTGCGTGTGCGCGTTCATTTTTGGGGCTAGGTGACCTTTTTCAGTACCGACACACAAGTGTCAAGCACACTTACGGAAAAGGCTTCGGAGAGGGGAGGGGAGGTGTAGAACGAACAGTTGAACAGTCGGGAGGAATCAGGTGTCAGAGCACCTTCCTGTCTCCCCTCCACCACCACCTTTCCTCACCCTACCCCCTTCCACCACACCCCAACCCCTAGGCCACAAACCACGCCAAGAATCAACTGTGGTTGAACCATTTCTCCAGCTGCCCGGCAAGGTTCACTGCACAACACGGCATCCACATGGCGGCTCGAAACCACCTCCCCTCTCCAGTGGAACGTTCCCCCCTGGAAACTGGAACGTTCCCCATTTCACCCCCCCCTCCCTCGCTGACGCATCTCTCGGCTCGCTCCCTTCCCCTGTTTCCCCTCTCCCCTCTCTCGTCACCCCGTCTTCCCCTCTCCCCCGTGCCCCCTGAAGCCCAGCCTCCCTAAGGGACGCCTGGAGGTGGAGTGAGGGAGACGACGAGTCACAAAGACCAGCACGGCACGCCACCCCACACGCAACCTCACCACCGCCATCGCTTTCCCCTCCACGCATAAATGCGTGCTGGTGACTCTTCCATTTTCCAAGTCCGAATTCAGAGTTTCTAAAACCTCTATCCACCTGACGTGACAACCAATTTACAGCGATTGCTTGAAGGCATTGATTACTGACTTCATTGATTACTTACTTCGGGTTCAGCATCCAGCGTATTTGAATATAGAGATGGCACAGGCGCTTCACCTATCGCAGTCTCTCAACATGAGCCGTAAAAGAAAGCTAGACGTCGTTGAGCAGGAGCTGTCTTCCGCATCCGACTCGAATCCTCAGAAGCTGCACAAGAGTTCTCTCCTCGACTCCACCATGGCCACCGTGACCTCCATTCCCGTTTTCGACTTTCCCACCGGCTCCATTGAAGATTATTTCACAGTTGACGCTGATCTGCTAGGATCGGGGGAATTCGGGGTGGTTCGCCGCTGCATTGACAACGCCACGGGCGAAACCTTCGCGTGCAAGACGATTCAGAAGAGCCGCCTTGTGAGCGAGTCGGACCGCGAGGAGGTTCGCCGGGAGGTCGCGGCAATGCAGCGCGTGATGGGCCACCCCGGCGTAGTTAATCTCCGCGCGGTCTTCGAGGATGATAAGGAGGTGCACATAGTCATGGAGTACTGCGAAGGCGGGGAGCTATTCGACGAGGTTATCCGACGTGGAAGGATCCCTGAGAAGGAAGCCGCGCTGCTGTTTCGCCAGATCGTCTCCGCCGTCGCATTTTGCCACGCGCGCGGCGTAATGCACCGCGACCTGAAACCCGAGAACATCCTCCTCAAGAAGCAGCTCGTTAACGGAAGGGAAGCGACGTTCGCGAAGCTCGCGGATTTCGGCCTGGCCATCGGCCTCGAGGAGGGTGCAAAGGCTAGCGGCGCCGCGGGTTCGCCGTTTTACATGGCGCCTGAGGTCCTGACCGGGGAATACGGCGTAGAAGGCGACGTGTGGTCTCTAGGAGTAATTCTCTACGTTTTGCTCAGCGGGAACACTCCATTCTGGGGTCCTGACGACAACGCGGTTTTCGCGTCGGTGCTCGCCGGTAGAGTGGACATGTCAGGTCCTGCCTGGGCGGGAGTGTCTGCGGAAGCGCGGAGCCTCATTCGCTGCATGCTGCAGCGCAATCCGCGGAGACGGCCGAGCGCGGCCAAGGTGCTGTCGCACCCGTGGATTCTGGTATATCTTTATGGCGGGCGGGTGGTGCGCAAGGTGGTGAACGTTCAGCAGCTGCAGCACGAGCGGGCGGGGATTGCGCAAGCGGCAGGGGTTGCTGCTGCCGCTCCTGCTGCGCCGGGCGCATGAGCTGCGCCAGACGCGGGATTAAGAAGCTTAAAAAACGACTGAAGATTGATTTTATGACTTACTGTTCGCTGTGTGGAGATTTTTCTGCGACCTCCCGCTTGACTTGGTGACGCCGACGCGCGCGTCGGTTGGCGATAATGGAGGAGCCATGGGGAGTGCCGGATTCCAGGTCGATGCCAACGCAAGCCTTGCTTCAACTCTGGAGGAACGCGTCTCGTTCCTCCGTGAATTGCTGACTCGCTGACTCCCTCTGTCGCGATGTTAGCTCGCAAGGAGGCTTGCCTTGGCATATTGCCTCGCGTTCTGATGGTTACGTATAACTGTAAATATTGATTAGGATAATTTTCCCAGCTGTATACTATGCCAATGTAATTAAACTGAGCTATTCCAGAATACTCTGAATTTTATCTGTTTCGCTCCTACTGGTACTAGAAAAAAATAACCAATCTGTGAGGTGTCAGAAGATAGCTGCTACACCCTCTATATGATCTACATTTAGCACCCCAGAAAGTTACTGGTACAATCTAGTTTTCCTGTAGATGAGTTGAACAGAATCTAACATGGGCGGTAGTTCCCTGGCCGGACTGGATTTCACAGCAAATGCTCAATTTACAATTGTACTCAATTACACAAGTCGAATGGTGACTATGTACAAATAGATCACATCACAGTACCCTTCCCAGCTTCTCCTTCCGTATTCTCCCCACATTGCAAGAGCACTGCAACAAGGGAAAATCAGCACAGGAACTATCAGGAGAAACATTCATCCCATGTGATTTGTCCTTCAGTCATTGCTATACACTTCCCTGCCCACTGCCCCACTCCTAATATCTCCACCGCTCCTCACTCCTCCCTACCCCTAGCTGCGTCAGCACCAGCAGGAAGGGCAACATCAGGCGGCACGGTAGCAAACTTGCCAATGATGTCCCGCAGAGTCACCACCCCCATTACCTCCTGCTGCTCTCCACTTCTCAACCTCTCCACCCCTCCTCACGCCTCCCCACCCCTCCTCACACCTCCCCACCCCTGCCCATCTCTTTTCACTCCTCCCCACTCCTGCTCGTGTCAGCACCAGCAGCCAGGGCAACATCAGGCGGCACAGCAGCAAACTTGCCAATGATGTCCCGCAGAGTCACCACCCCCATCACCTCCTGCTGCTGCCATCCACATTCTCAACCTCTCCAACCCTCCTCACTCCTTCCCACCCCTGCCCATCCCTCCTCACTCCTCCCCACCCCTGCACACGTCAGCACCAGCAGCCAGGGCAACGTCAGGAGGAACAGTAGCAAACTTGCCAATGATGTCCCGCAGAGTCACCACCCCTACCACCTCCTGCTGCCCTCCAAATCTGAACCTCTCCACCCCTCCTCACTCCTCTCCACCCCTCCTCACTCCTCCCCACCCCTCCTCACTCCTCCCCACCCACGTCAGCACCAGCAGCCAGGGCAACGTCAGGCGGCACAGCAGCGAACTTGCCAATGATATCCCGCAGAGTCACCACGCCTATCACCACCTCCTGCTGCCCCGTGCTCGCAGCACCAGCACCAGCAGCACCAGCAGCACCAGCAGCAGCAGAGGCACCGGTAGGAGCCTCAGCCCCAGCCTCAGTCCCAGCCCCAGCAGCAGCAGGAGCAGGAGTATCAGCGGCAGGAGGAGAAGGCGAGGAGGTGACGTAGATGCGGTGAATGTGGGTGCGGTTGAGAGCATGCAGCACGTTGCGCAGAGGGGTGGTGGGCGAGCAGGTGATGGGAGGCGTCATGACTGGCCAGATCACTTCTGTGGCGGATGAAATTGGTTCATTGGCCGCTGCTATGAAGTCTCGCACGGTGAACGACCTGCAGGGGAAAAGAAAAGCATGGAACCGGGGAGATTGGGGAAGGGGGGAAGGGGAGGAGGCGAGGAGGTGACTAGATGCGGTGGATGAGGGTGCGGTTGAGAGCATGCAGCACGTTGCGCAGAGGGGTGGAGGACGAGCAGGTGATGGGAGGCGTCATGACCGGCCAGATCACTTCTGTGGCCGATGAGATGGGCTCGTTGGCTGCTGCTATGAAGTCTCGCACAGTGAAGGACCTGCAGAGCAAGGGGGGAATGGGTAGGTAAGCTGGTGATGGGGGGTATCATGACCGGCCAGATAAATCTGTTGCTGATGAGATGGGCTCGTTGGCTGCTGTTATGTGCGACCCACTGCTCCTGGCGGCGTTTGATTTTTTCTGGCGACCCCACGAGGTGCAGAATGTCGCGCGCACTGATGTTGGCACGCGGGGGTGGTTGGGACCACCGGGAACGGCACACAGCATTCACAACCCACACTCAAAACACAGTGCCCCAGGTGCCACTAGAGTGCCACTCACTGCTCCTGCCGGCGCTTGAAAAATTCCGGCGAGCCCACGAGGTGCAGAATGTCGCGCGCACTCATGTCTTTTGAGGCGCCCCAAAAGAGGTGCAAGATTGTCCCGCGCACTGATGTTGGCACACGATGCAGTTGCGAGTCTTCAAAAGGTGCTAAAGACCCAATGTACTCACTGCTCCTAACGACCTGGAAGATCTCCACAATTGATTCACATTCCATACACATCAGACATGTCAAATCTGCACTCACCCTGCAATTGTTGAGAAGGCAGAGACGAGCATGGTGGTGCTGTTGGTACTGAAAGGGAGGAGACAGAAAGCTAAAAAATATAGGAAAAAGTGATGGGCCACTATGTCAAGAGTGGGATTTGAACCCACGCCCTTTCGGACCAGTACCTGAAACTGGCGCCTTAGACCAACTCGGCCATCCTGACACGTTTACACATATCAGGTCAATTACTGGTCCTACTGCCGCTTGAATATCTCTGGAAAGCCCACAAGGTGCAGAATGTCCCGCGCACTGATGTCGGCGACAAGGCAGGTGGAGGGGTTTCGTTGCCACTCTACCCAGTGCCATTCACAACACAACGCCCCAGGTGCCCCTCAGGTGCCACTTAAGTGCCACTCACTGTTCCCAGCGGCGATTGAAAATCTCCGGCGAGGCCACGAGGTGCAGAATTTCTGTCCCGCGCACTGGTGTTTGCGATGAGGCGGTTGATTCAAGCACCAATATCCGCAAGTGCCCTAAATGGCCCCTGCGTGACACTCACTGCTCCTGGCGCCGCTTGAAGATTTCGGGCGAGCCCACGAGGTGCAGAATGTCCCGCGCGCTGATGTTGGCGATGAGGCGGTTGCTTCCCTTAGCCACCACGGGCACCCCTCCTATGTCATGCTCCATCATCAGCCGAAAGGGCTCCGTCACTGCTGCATCGTCCTCTACCTGTGAGGAACAGGAGGGGATATGGGGAGAAGGAAAGAGCCTAAATACACTGGCACCCCTCCAATGTTAGAAGAGGGAGGAAAAAAAGAGAGGGACAAAAAATGAGCTTGAATTCCCTTGGCCACCACGGGCACCCCTCCTATGTCGTGCTCCATCATCAGCCGAAAGGGCTCCGTCCCTGCTGCATCACCTTCCACCTGGAGTAGAGCAAGGAAAGGGCAACGAGGCATAGAGCGAAGGAAGAGAGGCAGGCGGTCGTAAGTTTAGCTGGACAGGGGGAGAGAGAGAGAGAGGCACCACACATGCCGCTACACTCACACTGGCACTTGATGGTTCCATGCCAGCACAGCGCTGCCCAGTACCCTGACAAGCTCGTCAGGACACATGAGCGACAGCCCGAGCATAGCCAGCGAGCAGAGCAGTAGGAAATGGAGTTGAACCAAGGCATGCCGTCACACTCGCACAGGAAGGCCACCACCACCTTGAAACATGCCATTTTTAACCGCACACCACCTTCGCAAGCCGAGCATGCCAATCTTAGCTCAGCTAGCGAGCAATCAGGAAAGTAATTAAACCACTGCAGCAGACTGCGTGATCACCGTAGATATCGCCAAACCATACTCCGTTCACATGACCTCTCAACCACGTGTCACTCTGAAAAACAACATTTCAACCGCACAGTACCTTAACCAGCTCCTCTGGTTGCATCAGAGGGAGCCCGAGCTCAGCCAAGGTGCAATCAGCAATGGAGTTGAACCAGGGCATGCAGTCACACTCGCACAGGAAGGCCACTGCAGCAGACTGCGTGATCACCGTCGAGATCGCCGACTCGGGGCCGGCTTTTGAGGCGCCTCAAAAGCACACTAGACTGCATGATCACTGTCGAGATCGCCTACCCATGCTTCCTTTACACAACGTCTCAACCACACATCACAACCACCTTAGCCGCACAATACCTTCACAAGCCCTTCAGGTCGCATCAGTGGCAGCCCGAGCTGATCCAGAGTGCAATCCGCAATGGAGTTGAACCACAGAATGCCGTCACACTCGCACAGGAAGCCCACTGCAGCAGACTGCGTGATCACCGTCGACATTGCTGACCCATGATTCCTTTACATCACCTCCAACCACACATAACCGCACCGTACCTTGACAAGCTCTTCAGGCTGCATCAGCGGCAGTCCCAATTCGGCCAGAGAGCAGTCAGCAATGGAGTTGAACCAGGGCATGCCGTCACACTCGCACAGGAAGGCCACTGCAGCAGACTGCGTGATCACCGTTGAGATGGCCGAACCATGCTCCGTTCACATGACCTCTAAACCACGTGTCACCCTGAAAAACAACTCTTCAACCGCACAGTACCTTGACAAGCTCTTCAGGCTGCATGAGGGGCAGCCCCAATTCAGCCAGCGTGCAGTCAGCGATCGAATTGAACCACGGCATGCCGTCACACTCGCACAGGAAGCCCACCGCAGCAGACTGCGTGATCACCGTCGAGATTGCCGACTCAGGGCCGGGCGGCAGCACTGGCACGGAGCGGATGGCGTACCTGGATACGAGGGAAAAGAGCGTGAGGAAGGACTGCTTGAGAAGCAATACTGGATGGAGAAGGAAGAGCGGATGCTTTTGAGGGGATTTTGGAAACGAGAGTGGATGGCGTTTCTGTACATGAGGAAAAAGGGTGTGAGAAGATGCGACAGCTGAGTCGTTTTTGTGGCGATTTTTTTGGCGCCTCGAATATTGGAGACAGAGAGAAAAGAGAGTGAGAGGCGATACTGAGAAAAGAAGCGATATTGGATTGGAGTCAAAAGAATTGGATACATACTTGGACATGAGGAGGAAGAGCGTGAGGAGCGTGTCGGACGGCTTGAGATACACAAAGGGCGACCAGCGGAACGATCCGGCTAGATCCGCAACTCGCGTGGTGTGAAATGCCTCATTCTTTAGAAGCTCTTCGAAAAAGAATCGGCCGGTGCGAGAGGGAGAGTGAGAAGCCATGGCTGTTGCCATGTATGATCCCAGCTCCTTTCCAGGCGAGCCTCCCTCTGTTGCTTCCTGCCCGCCCGGTGCTGCTGCCAAGCCTGCTGCAGCTCCGGCGGCTGCGGCAGGTCCGGCCGAAGCTCCGACAGCGGCTGCTCCGGCTGCTGCGACGAAGGAACCCACGAGGGAGGCAGCGAGGGTTGACGCTGTTGCATATCCAATGGAAGATGCTTCGAGCTGCGAAGGGGAGGGGAGGGGAAGTTGGGAAGGGGGAGGGGGAGGGAGAAAAAACATTCAACGAGCTGACAAGGGAGAGGCTGAGAGGGTTGATGCCGTCCGTGGTGAATCCAATCGAATGCTTTGAGCTGCAAGGGGCAGGAAGGCAGGAGGGCAGGAGGGCAGGATATGAACTACTGCATTCATTGCTTCAGAGGATTAGCAAAAGCAACTCCAGTACATGGGCACACTCACATTAGCAAAGACCCAGAGGATAACAGCGCCTGCCAAATCCATCATGCCCAAATACTGACTTTAAAATTGAAGTCAAATGTCACTCAGACGTCCAAGGTGCACAGCACACTCACATTGGCAAAGACCCAGAGGATAGCAGCGCCTGCCAAATCCATCATGCCAAGATACTGAGGCTCCCACTCCTCCACCTCCACCTCCTCCAACTCTTCCTCCTCTTCCATCTCCCCTCCTCCCTCTGCTGGCTCTTCCACGATCCCTGTTGCTCCCACTCCCTCCCCTCCTCCCTCCCCTCCCTCCCCTTCCTCCCCTTGTTGCTCTGATTCGGTCATTTCGACGTCCGTTGCTCCGCCCCTCCCCCTGCGGGCCCGCCCTGCAGCCTCCCCAGCAATGCTTCTGACGGGTACAGTGGTGAGGTTGTGTCGAGACAGCAGCTTAATGGCATCGTACAGAGTCGTGTTGGCCGTCACCTCGTGCACTGGGGGGTGGAAGAGGGGGGCAACATAGAGAAGTGCACAGAAAAAGACATGTCAAGAGCAACACGGTGGTGAGGTTGTGTCGAGACAGCAGCTTAATGGCATCGTACAGAGTCGTGTTGGCCGTCACCTCGTGCACTGGGGGGGGGGGGGGGGGAGGAGGGGCCAGGGGGAAGGAGGAGGGGGGGGAGGAGGAGGAGAGACGGGAGGAAAGGAGAATTATGAGAGCAGCTTGCTGGCATCGTACAGAGTCGTGTTGGCCAAAACAAAGAAAAAAAAAAAAAAAAAAAAAAGAGAGAAAGTCACCTCGTTCACCCCATTCTGGAGGAGGATGGGGTCAGCAAGAAGTGGAGGAGGAGAGGGAGAGGAGGGGGAAGATGGTTGGCTCAAAGGACAATTTTTTAGGCGCCTCAAAATACGGAGAGGAGGGGGAAGATGGTTGGCTCAAAGGACAGAACCAGCAGACTTAAAGCAAAGGCAGTTCAGAAGGTGGCTCGTACCCGTTGTGACTTTAGGGAAGAGTGAAATCGGCAGCAGCGCCAGCACCTGGCTCACGGCAACCAGCTTCTTTTCAGTCACCTCGTCTGCAGTCACCCTACGCGCCCTCTCCCTATCCGCCTCCCCTTCCGCCCTTCCCCCTTCCGCCGCCCTCTCCCCTCCGCCCCACTTCCCCTCCCGCCGCGCCTGGTGCTGCTCGCGCCCAATCTGCTCCCACCACTCCTCGATTTTCTCCTTGAGACTCGCGGGCGGCGCCGCCACGTGGATCAGCGCCCTCTCCCGCTCCGCCGGCGCTTCCCCGGTTCCGCCGCCAGGCGCGCCCCCCGCGCGGCCTACCTCAGCCGCCATGCTGCTGCGCTTACTGGATCAACTAATGTCGCGTACGGAGCCCGCGAACTTGCCTTTGCGCCTACAGGTGCTCAAGAACGGCGAGAACAGGGGGATAGTAGAAGCTCTGTCTAAGCAAGAAGCTGGCCGACGCACGAGATGATGGCACCGCCTGAACGAAACGCGAACGAAACGCGAACGAAAAGCGAACGAAACGCGGAAAGGGATCGTCGTTTCTACGACCAGAAAGGAACCCAACTGAAAAGCTTGGTGCATAGAGCTTGGAAAAGCTTCGAGCATCCAAGAGTGATTCGCTCTACCAGCGCGTGTGCTGCTCTGGAAGGAATTACCTCAAGAACGCGTGCGTCGATCGTACCGCCCTGGCTGCAACCCTCTTTCCCCTTCTTGAACCGAAACGCTCAAACGCGATTCGGACTCGCGAACAAGAAACCACAGAAGGGACACCGCACCGCACACAGGTCTCAGAGAAGAGAGACGAGACGAGGGGAGACGAGACGAGCAGCAGCGGCCTGCTGAAGGAAATTCGCGCCACGGGATGCGGAAATTGAGCATTTGAGGCGTCCGCACAAACGAGAATCGAGTCGCAATTGGATGATGTGATGATGCGGCGACGTACGTACGCGTGGCCCTTCAAAAGCGCATGAATAACGCGCTGACGTCATCTCAGTACAACTCCAGCACAGCATTCCTCTGCGCCAGCGAAGCAGCACGACGAATGAACGCGTGACAGAGCGATACAGGTATGCGCGGACGCGGCAGCGGGGACTGGAACAGCCATGCCATCAGCCATGACCCTGTGCCGAGGGCGAGGGGCACGGTGTAGGCATGGCGAGGGCATGGGCGATCGCACTGTTACCCACCCTTGCGGCGTGGCGATAACCCCCATGCTCGGCAGATCGATGTGCATGGCGCTCGAGCATCTCGATTCTCGAACTAAATTTCGCCTGACCTTCACACAGCTCGGGACAGCCTCCAACGCGGAGCGCGCTAAGCCATGCAGCCTTCGCGGGATTCACGCTGGACACGTGAGTGCGTGCTCTTGCCCTGCATTGGTGCGCTCGCCAATGTGCTGTATTCGAGAATGGTAATGGGTGTGAGTTGTCATGTCAGCGCACACTGTAAATCACGCTATTGAGTTGGGCTCTTGAGCATGCTGTAACTACACTAGTGACGTTTTCTAAGAGAGCATACGCTACAAACTACCGCTATATGCAAATGACCACCCAAACAAGTCAACCAGCTGTAGACGAGCGCTATGGCAATGGAGGCGCTGTAAGTGAGCACCCCCCAGTGCATTGCTATGTACGAAAGAAGGCACACCTACCGTATCCACAATTCACTGAACACTGCATCACAAAACCTATAATTTTCTGTACGAAACCATGGCCACTACCTCAGCAGCAGCTCGCCCTGTCAACAACCTTTATCACAGTGTAACCTGATTTCTAGAGTAGCAAATCGAAGACAAGCGTTACGCGGAGAACTCGTCATCGTTGTTGAGCATGGGCTGCCGTGCCACCTGCTGGTCGTTCTGACTGTCCAGCGGCATGTACTGCGCCATGATGGCCCGGATCTCCGAATCCATGTATGACTGGTGGAGGAGAGATGGGTTAAGGTGGGGTGGGCGGGGAAGAGGGAGAGGGGAGACGGGGGGTTTGCGAGAAGATTGATGGAAAACGCAAGGATTGTCTGATCCACCTGTTCAGAGGCATGCACTGCGCCATGATGGCCCTGATCTCTGAGTCCACGTATGACTGGCATGTGATGAGTCGACTAAAAAATCGACTAGCAATCGAGGAGGGCGATGGGATGGGGGGGGTTGGGGTTGGGGGGAGTTGAAATAAGGTATACAAGTCGTAGCTCTCCTGTCCAGCGGCATGTACTGTGCCATGATGGCCCGGATCTCCGAGTCCCATGTATGACTGGTGGAGGAGGGAGGAAGAAATGCGACAAGGCCTGTCTGTTTGAAATGCGGAGAGGCAGCCCTGCACAGGTGGTGCCTGTGTTGCTGTGCGCATGTGCAACGGGGTTTGGCTGGTGTGTGTCGTGCAGTGCAGTGTTCAGTGCGCTGGCGTGCTGGTGTGCTGTGTGCCAAATGTGGTGCGTTCTTGGCTGCATATATAGCACGGCACAGACGAAATAAACTAAGCACTCGCAGAACCCTCCACTCACCCTGACCCTCCACTCACCATGACCCTCTACTCACCCTGACCCTCCACTCACCCTGACCCTCCACTCACCCTGACCCTCCACTCACCCTGACCCTCCACTCACCCTGACTGTCCACTCACCCTCACCCTGAGCCTCCACTCACCCTGAGGCGGTACTTGTACACGATATAAGCCACGATGGCCACAGCGACCAGTGAGCCCAGCACAATGGAGTCGACTCAACAGCCTCAACTCACCCTGAAGGGACTCCACTCACCCGGAGGCGGTACTTGTACACGACATAAGCCACGATGGCCACAACCACGAGTGACCCCAACACAATGCCCGCCACCATTCCCCACAGCCGCGTGGGGGGTGTGCCTCCCTCCTTGCCTGCACGTGGCGAGGGGCGAACACGGGAATGGAATGGGGGAGGGAGGGAGGGAGGGAAGAGAAAAGAGGGGATACTATGAGTCGACTCAAATAGACTCACAGCTGCGTGGTGGGCACGCCGCCCTCGTCTGCAGGTGGGAATCCTAAGTAAAACACACTGATGAGCCAGACACACGTTTATGCAGCAACTAGAAAGATACTCACTGATGCACGTGTCCGAGAACTTGAGATAAACCAGCCCGTTGTAGCCCGAGCACTCGTACGACCCAAAGGTGTTCTTGCATTGGCGAATGACACTCATTCACATCCCGAACAGCAGGTCACCCTCTGATGCACATCACCACATGACATGCACAATCACGCACAGCACTCACTGATGCACGTGTCCGAGTCCTTGAGATACACCAGCCCGTTGTAGCACGAGCACTCATACGAGCCAAACGTGTTCTTGCAGTGGCAGTCCACACAGCTGCATGCGCTGTGCTCCGAGCACTCGTCTATGTCCTCACACTTGAACCCGTCTCCCCTGAAGCCTGGCGGGCACACACACTGGGTCGATGAACTGTCCTGCTTTGTGGGGAGAGGTGGGGAGCGAGTGGGAAGGAGCGGATGGGGAGAAGGAGGCGTTGAGGAGAACGGTGTAAAACGGTGCTGCTGTTTTCCAGGCAGGCACTACTAGGCTATGTCCTGGTACGAGCCGAAGGTGTTCTTGCAGTGGCAGTCCACACAGCTGCATGCGCTGTGCTCCGAGCACTCGTCTATGTCCTCACACTTGAACCCGTCGCCCCTGAACCCCGGGGGGCACACACACTGCGTCGATGAACTGTCCTGCTTGGGTGAAAGGGAAGACGGAGGTGGGGGCATGGGGAGTGGAGGGAGGGAGGTGGGGAGCGGTGGGGAGGTGTGGACAAGGCCTGTGCTCGGAGCACTCGTCTATGTCGTCACACTTGAACCCGTCGCCCCTGAACTCCGGAACCACTCGATCAATTGTCCTGCTCAGTGGGGAGTGCTGGGCAGAGATGGGAAGAGGTGCGGACATGCACACTGCGCACTCAGCTACGTTCAAGTACACTTGGCCAGCACACCAAGCTTCGCTTCGCCCCTAATGGCCCATGCTGACGAGGTTCAGGTTCAGACCCCGGCTTGTCAACATAGAACAGCCTAGTGACATGTGACTCCCTTGCAAGGCTTCCGTCTGGGAGCAACGCACCTGGCAGGCAGTGAAGGTTTGGCCGTCACCAGCCCCCTGCCAGCAGCCCCCGTTGTTGACCAAACAGCGACCAACGCCCGTCGCTGCAGGGGACGGATGGGGGCGTAGGGGAAAAGGGAAGGGGTGAAGGGGGTCATTGTGTGCGCCCAGCCAGGCGTTTTCTGTTTGTTTCGCGCCTGAAATCACGAGGCATGCGGTGAGCTGCTGCAGGGTGTTTTTGAGAATTCTCAAAAACACCCTGCAGCATCACGAGGCATGCGGTGAGCTGCACGTGGGCATGCTCTCTCTCATCCCATGCTCTCTCTCATCCCATGCTCACTTAGTCAATGTGTGCAGACTCCCTCGCCCCATGCTCCCTCACCCCATGCTCTCACCCCATGCTCTCACCCCGGGCTCTCTCATCCCCCGGGCTCTACCTCCATCCTCACCCTTAAGTGCATGCACACCAATTCCCGACACTGCACTGACGGCACCCACATGCACTCAGTTCACAGTTGGTGCACCCATTGCCAGACAAGTACATGCCAGTCTGAGCCTATATTACCCCATGTTCACACCCCAACCCAACCCAACCCAGCCCAACCAGTCCAGGTCAACCCAACCCAATCACCCCACATGTGCAACCAGGCCCATCCCCTGCAGCACCCTTTTGCACTCACGTTCGCACTTGGTGTAGCCATCTCCCGACAGGTACACGCCAGTCTGAACGAATGTTACCCCACGTTCTCACCCAACCCAACCCAACCCACCTGATCCCAACCCAGCCCAACCAAAACCAACCCATCCTCTGCACAATACTCACGTTCGCACTTGGTGTAGCCATCTCCCGACAGGTACACGCCGGTCTGGGGGTCCTTAGGGCACTCACATTCCACCAAAGGCTCTCACTGCTCTCATCCCAATCCCAGCCACCCGTTCAGCCACATTCACTCACGTTCGCATTTGGTGTAGCCGTCTCCCGACAGGTACACACGCCGGTCTGGGGGTCCTTGGGGACTGTTGACCCACCTTACGACTCCCACCCAACCCACCCCACCCGACCGCACCCCACTGCACCCCACCGCACATGTACATTGCATCATACTGAGCGCACTCACGTTCGCACTTGGTGTAGCCATCGCCCGACAGGTACACGCCAGTCTGGGGGTCCTTGGGGCACTCGCACACTCGCCCTCGGAAAGTGTCCTGGTGGGGGGCATGGGCGGAAAGGAAACGAGGCGGAAAGGAAACGAGGCGGGCATGTGGTG